TGAATTTGTTAATTTAATCAATTAAATGTTTCTTTTCTTATTATAAAGGAATAAATTAATATTCATGCAAAATCATTATTTTAGCATCTCTTGTATTGGCAGAATAATTTATTAAAATTTAATATTTTCACATGAAAATATCAAGCAAAAAACATGTTTTCCAAGCATTGTTCCTCTTATACAAATAGTGGGTATTGTTTTTTAATTAAATATCTAGAAATAATTAAGTATAATTTAATCAACATATTTATTATATGCATATAAATATGAATTGAAATAAGTTTTAATTTTAATGAATTAATTTGTATTTTGGTATAGATTTCATATGGAAGATTTATTGTGTAATTCAATTGACTTTTGTTTAACAGTAAATTATTATGTAGTTGTGTTAATTATTATGTAGACACTAATGATGATAAAAAAAATTCAACAAATTTATATTAATTTTACTTAATATGAATTAGTATTTTTAATGCATATCTATATAATATAATATTTGTTAGTAATTTTCTTCCTCGTTTAAAAAACTCCAACTCCGCCACTTGCTCTAAAAATAAATCCAATTCAATTTTCTAATCTTCCAAAGTTCTTTTGCTTGGGAATTGTATTTAAAGATGAATACATGGACAAGGTTAATAATGAAGCAAGATGCATTATTGACTTTTAGAAAAGTATTTTCACCTTTATTATTTTTAAGAATTTTTATTTTTATTTCTTTTGATTTTTTATTATTTTCTTGATTTTTTTTTAATTTTTCAAAGACTTTATTTTTAATTCTTAACAAATAAATATAGGTAAAACAGGAATAATCATCAATAAAAATTATAAAATATCTTTTTCCACCTCTTGTTAACATACCATTTATTTCACATATATAATAATAAACTAACTCAAATAATTCAAAATTTCTTCTAATTTTAGAAAAAAATGTTTTTTTTTGTCATCTTTGCTTGAATATATACTTTACATTTTTCATATGCCTCATTCTATAGAAAACACAAAGTGAAAAACAATGTATCAACCTCAGAATAAACCAGCACCTCCATCGGCTGAACCTAATGCTCTAAATAGTGGCGGAGTCATAGACAAAACGGGGCAGTTGCGCACATAATCTTTTAATAATATTTTTTATATTAAAATATTAATTAATAGTTTGATGAAAGGTGACTACACAGAAAAAAATGTTATTATTGACTTATATCTTAATATAATATATAATATATATGCCTATCTCTTTACCTAAATTTTTCTCTCTCTTTTTTTTTTTCTATTTCTTTCCCTAACTAACCGAGAGTCTTTTTTACTTTTGAGTTGTTATTCCTTGCCTCTCTTCTATATATAAATTAGTACAGTTAAGTAATTAAATTCTTTTGCTTTTTATTTTATATTTTAGGTTAAAAAATTATTTGTTTTATTATTTAATTTTAATCTTATTCTTTTATAATTAGTTATTAAAAATATTAAGAATTTTAATAATTTTAAAGGTCTTGATATAAATATGTTTAAAATAAATATTTGAATTTGTTAATTTAATCAATTAAATGTTTCTTTTTTTATTATAAAGGAATAAATTAATATTCATGCAAAATTATTATTTTAGCATCTCTTGTATTGGCACAATAATTTATTAAAATTTAATATTTTCACATGAAAATATCAAGCAAAAAACATGTTTTCCAAGCATTGTTTCTCTGATACAAACAGTGGGTATTGTTTTTTAAGTGGGTATTGTTTTTTAATTAAATATCTAGAAATAATTAAGTATAATTTAATCAACATATTTATTATATGCATATAAATATGAATTGAAATAAGTTTTAATTTTAATGAATTAATTTGTATTTTGGTATAGATTTCATATGGAAGATTTATTGTGTAATTCAATTGACTTTTGTTTAACAGTAAATTATTATGTAGTTGTGTTAATTATTATGTAGACACTAATGATGATAAAAAAAATTCAACAAATTTTAGCATCTCTTGTATTGGCAGAATAATTTATTAAAATTTAATATTTTCACATGAAAATATCAAGCAAAAAACATGTTTTCCAAGCATTGTTTCTCTGATACAAACAGTGGGTATTGTTTTAAAATAAATCCAATTCAATTTTCTAATCTTCCAAAGTTCTTTTGCTTGGGAATTGTATTTAAAGATGAATACATGGACAAGGTTAATAATGAAGCAAGATGCATTATTGACTTTTAGAAAAGTATTTTCACCTTTATTATTTTTAAGAATTTTTATTTTTATTTCTTTTGATTTTTTATTATTTTCTTGATTTTTTTTTAATTTTTCAAAGACTTTATTTTTAATTCTTAACAAATAAATATAGGTAAAACAGGAATAATCATCAATAAAAATTATAAAATATCTTTTTCCACCTCTTGTTAACATACCATTTATTTCACATATATAATAATAAACTAACTCAAATAATTCAAAATTTCTTCTAATTTTAGAAAAAAATGTTTTTTTTTGTCATCTTTGCTTGAATATATACTTTACATTTTTTATTATTATCTTACTGATATGAAATATAATCATACTTACACGTATATTTCAAATATCTAAATTTAGATATTCTAATCTACCATGTCAAATAAAAAAAATGTATTCAATCATATAAACATAAATAATATTAATTTCATTAATACCGAACTTAAACATATCATTACAAGAATAACACTTTTCCACAAACATCTCACTCTTAGTTGTAATAATATTACCTGACTCTAAAATAATTTTTAATCTTTTTTTGCTCAAAAGATTAGCAAATACAAGGTTTTTTTTTCTAATCTCACAAAATATTTTTTAATCTTTTTTTGCTCAAAAGATTAGCAAATACAAGGTTTTTTTTTCTAATCTCACAAAATAATTTTTAATCTTTTTTTGCTCAAAAGATTAGCAAATACAAGGTTTTTTTTTTCTAATCTCACAAACATAAAACACATTGACTAAAAATATTTTTTGTTCAAAAATAAAGTATAACTAAATAGTTTCTTTTCCCAAAACTTTAGCAAAATTATAGGTCTTTCGATTCTTCATAAGTCTTGAATCATGCTTTGTTGTTGTAGACATGAACTATTGCACTAAAATCCATCTACCAATTAGAAGTCTTCACAGCACTAGTTATCATATTTAATTAAGTAATCATTAAATTTTGAATATTTGAAACCATGATAACCAACTTTTTGACTTTGTTATTTTCAATCATATTTACTTTGAAGGAACTATATTTTTTGTTGAAATTCTTAAATACGCACTCTTTTATGTAAATCCTTTATTTTCATAATGGAAACAAACCTTATTCTTTTTGTTAGTATTTTTTTTTTTGAATTTGTTTCTATTTTTTTGCATTTTCATATTATTTTGAGTCATTATCGAACTAGTTTCAATAACTAAATTTATTTTAGAATATATTGCTTGCAATTCATGTATACTGGAGTTACTAGATTTAACCTTAAATTGCAAATGTGTTGAAAACTATTTTAGGATTGTTTGTTGAATGCAACATTTTCTTTCTATGTTCATTTCAAGATGGAGAAAGTTTTGATAAACAACTCCCCACTTGAAGTGAATCAAGAACTTTGATATCCAAATCATTGAGTTTTAATATCAACATTTGAATTTTATGGACTTAATCCTGATTGACTTGTTGTTGATAATCTTATACTAAAAAAAATTTAAAGCAAAAAAACGATCGATATATATATATATATATATATATATATATAGTCTTCAAGACTACCTAAATTTCATATGACGACTTTAATTTGAAAAGGATGTCATAAAGTTGACTAATCAAAGTATTCAAAATATACCTTCAACAAAACATTTCATCTTCCTTGTATTTTAGTCTTAACAAAAACATATTTATCTTTTTATGATTCAAATAATACAGATTCAAGTCAAGAATATAGTAAATCTTTATTGAAGTAAATAGAAACAACATCTTATCCATTCACATTGTGTAACTTGTATAACCAAAACAATTCAAATGAATTTTGACATTATTAGCAAGTTCATAAACCTAACACTTGAATTCATATTTGTTTATATCAAATTAAACACCATAAAATTATTAAAAAAAAACTATTTATGAATGAAAACAAATAAAGAGTTGACTTCAAAGTGTGAAAACACTATATTTAAAATATTTATTTATCTTACACAAAAACAATAGTTTAAAGATACAACTAAATTCTTTTAATCTATATAAAAAAAAACAAAAAAAAAAAAACAAAGGAAAAATAATCATATTTATTTTATATATCTAATCTTTGTATGGCATCTTGTTTATATAAACTTGAAACATTATAATGAAACATTTTACACTTATAAAAATATCTAATGTGTTAAATAAACCTATAAAAATATTTAGTTACATGAACGAAAATAATTATTGTTGGATGGCCAATTTTATTTTATTTTATCCGGAAATCTTGTAAATAAAAAGAGAGCAGACGTAGCCAACCCCCATTCAGTTTGCCACTTTACTAGTTAATGAAAAGAACTATTCAGCTTAAAAGACAATATTAAGAAAAAAAAATATTAATAAAAAATTTAAAAACTGAAATAACTTAAATTCTTATTCCATGTATCTATTTTGAAAAATAAAATATAAAAATGAAAAATAAAATATTCAAAGTTAAACTCAGATTTTTAATTATCTCTTATCCTCTCTCGTGCTTATATTTCTCAGCTCATACAGAATACATATTGATAATCAAGAGTGAAGTGCAAAATCATCCACGTTATTTGATATATGTTTGGCATTGTAACTATAATTATTAAATAATTTTTCATGTTAAAATACATATTAATATTTTTTTTATTTTTTAAAAATTATTTTTAACATCAGTACATCAAAACAATTCAAAACATATTAAATTTTAATAAAAAAAATTAAATTTTTTTACACTGCGTTTCCAAACAGAAACCTTGGTCAGCAATTTCAAAATCTTCCAGAGCTCCATATACCTTATTATAACAAGTTATTAGTATGCATTAAGAACACAAGTACTGGCAAAACAAGTCATTTAAGTTAATTAACAACAGAAACTACCAGGAATCAATGAGATTGGCAAGTTGTGCAAACAAAGACAAGTCATCTAGCATATATGTTTATTTTCAAACAGGTCCATATTCCAAAGCAAGAACACTAAACTACGGAAAATCTGAAAGTATTGCAAGAAAATCTGCCATTCACAGTATCCAAAGAGACCCATCCAACCTCATGAGCTCACAGTACTAATAATGTAGCCAGAAATAAGACTGCAGTATAGCAGCCCTTCATCAATCCTCATATTGCCATAAGATCACCATAATTCCGCATCAGAAAAATAGATCCAGCAAACAGCCCAACAGCTCGCAGCAGTTTCTGCAACATGAAAAAAGTAGTTCCTTACTAGACAACAAATGAAATCAGCTACTAGCTGTGCTCATGGAAATTGAACAGACTCTTGCGAAGAATAAAAGACATGTAACATCAGCAGAAAAATAAGTCCTAAGAAAATAATGCCAGTGAAGCTAAAATCTTTACTAGTAAAATCCTTACCAGTTGATAGAGCAAATGGTAACAGGAGCTGCATTATTCATCTAACTAAACAGCGTGAAAGTCTGGCATTTACTAATTTCCACTATTGATTTTAGTCAATGCCTTGGCTAGGATTCAGCATTAGCAGTGCTAAAAAATTCTAAAAATAAAAATAGCACTTTGAATACCATTAAGATTCTCTTAGCAGGGATCTGCAACCAGGCTGTGCTTAAACATCTCTTTTAGTTACTTAAGGCAAAAAGACAAGGGCATTTCCCAGCGCTTTTCCAAAGGGCACAGAGGAGATCTTGCTCTTAAAAACAGCAAGCTTTTTGCATCAAAACCAAAACAAATCCTTTTCTTTTGACTAAGCCTTAAACTTCATGCAACTAAATACAGAAAGCATTTTCTAAGGTCTTAAATTCCAGTCAACAGGACATAGGAGGCATTTACAGAAATCAGGTGTGGCAACCCACCCTATTTGGCGTTCTGCCACGCAAAGATCTGAGTTAAACCCTAAGGTTATTAATAAGATTTCAGGTGTCGCAACCCTGGACCATCAATCTCTGTCTGATTTAGACTTAACTCCAGTTTTCAGACACTATATCCTTAATTTTTATAGTCTTTCTCCTAGAAAGAAAAAGAAACTCTCTCTTGATTGCTCAGTGATCAAAGAACAAATTTTAGTATTTAGAATTAGAATAAGATAAAAAAAATCCCATCATTAGGGCAAAAAGGGTGATTGTTTCCATTAGAGAAAATCCAAAAATAGCATAAAACGAGATAAAAAAAATCCCATCATTAGGGCAAACAGGGTGATTATTTCCGTTAGAGCAAATCCAAAAAAAACATAAAAATAATAATTGTTTTGCTAAAGATGGATTTCTGGATACAGAATGAATCAAAGAACTGAAGATGTTTCCACGGAAGATGGGCTTCAAGCCACACCACGATTGAAATGGGGAGAAACTGCCTGACCGAGCAAGAATTGCCTATTAAATATATGAAGCGCATTCTGGTTTGGATTCATGTGTAGTTTATTCGTCACCTTCAAGCTCAAAGCTAATGTTCTGGCTCTATTATATGAAATGCCCCTTTGGTTCTATTAGTGACAGCAGAACCCTAATGAACCAAAACAAGGCCATCAACTTCAATAGCTCAGGAAGGAAGAGTCACAAGACTCCAGGAGCAAGTAACCTATATGGTTTTCACTTGTTCATCTAAAAACCAGTGTTACAAACAGAGTTACTATGTCAGGAACAGGGTCAAGCACAAATTCATCAGAGTTTGTTTCTCCTAATGTTGGATGTTCCTGCGGGTTGCTGTCATCCGTTAGGGTTGTTTTTGTCTCTCTGTTAATACATTATGTTCTTCTACCTCTATGTAATTCTAACTTCGACTCACAAGTAAAATATAACTAGACAGACAAATTTGGGACCTCTGGGATTACTTAATAAAGGAATCATAGTTCAATTTAAGGACCCAAATCTTAAACTAAATATATCGAGACAGCATCACACAGACTGTTATAACCGAATCTATCTTTCCTAGCTCCTCAGAACTTGAGGTAAAGGAGATTAAGTTCTAACACAAGTTCTCCCGTAGCATCTCTCTAAATACCAACATTTGATGCTTCAATTCAATTCACATTCCAAATCAACAAAACAAAAGGTTGATTAAAGGGAAGCAAGAACCAAGTCAATGAATAAATTAGTAAATTTGTGTGCGTTTTAGATAGAGAGAGAGAGGTACCATGTTGAGGGCCCATTTCTCCTCATCGTGAACTTGAGAGTTCCAGAAAGCTTTTAGCTTGTCAATAGAAACTGATGAATCTGCCATTGGTGAACTCGTAAGATTGAGAGAGACTTGTTAGGGTTTTAGATTTTAGAGAGGCAGAAGAAAACAGGGTTTTTTCCACCGAAATTAGGGTTTTTATTTGATGTGGTGTGTCGTTTAAAATTACAGAGGAAGCCTTGCTTGACTGCCTCTTGTGGCTTTAATATGCAGGGGCAAACATGTACGAAAGATTTCTTTCCTGTCTCCTTGTCATTTTAATGCTAAATAACCATTTTGTCTAGAAATCAAAGCAAATGGCACTTTATGTATATTTATATATATATATATTGTCTATTGCTTTTAGAAACAATGATATATATTGTCTATTGCTTTTAGAAACAAAGCTAATCGCAGCTCCAACGGACGAGGCATACGGAGAGTTAAAACTGTTTTGTTCGAGTGACAAAAACCCAATCCATCATCACTCCTTTGTCTATCATTCATTCCATTCAAAGCTTCTCTCAAAATCCAGAAGATGGAGGCCACAGCGTTGTGTGGCAGCAGAGGACTTCCATTCAGAATGAAAGCAGCAGCAGCTATATCACATATTAATTCTTCACCTCTTCTAATCAAATCCATGGCCTCCCAGAAGCCTTTGCCATCAGCTGCCAAGACTGTTAGCTCTAGAAAGGTCAGTTCTTCTCTGCTCTACCTTTCATCATCTTGTTGTCAACTCTCTGATTCGTAGCAGCCATCATTTTCTTAATTCTGCTATTGCTCTGTGACAATTAATACCAAGCCAGAGCTCAAATGTCTTCCCCCTTGGCGAGCAAGGCCCTAGAAGCCGCCCACTCGCAACCTCACCTCCAATTAAGCTACTGACAAGGGTGGAGCAACTTAAATTACTAACCAAAGCTGAGAAAGCAGGCTTACTTTCAGCAGCAGAGAAGTTTGGCCTCTCACTGTCAACAATAGAGAAACTGGGGCTACTCTCAAAGGCAGAAGAATTGGGAGTCCTCTCAGCAGCTACAGACCCGGGAACCCCAGGGGCTTTGTTAAGCCTTAGCCTGGGACTGCTGCTTTTAGGACCCTCTTGTGCCTATCTTGTGCCCGAGGATTACCCTTGGGAGGTTGCTTTGCAAGTTGCAGTTGTTCTGCTTTGCGTAGCTGGTGGATCTGCAGCCTTTGCAGCTTCAAATTTTGTATCCAACTTGCAGAAATCAAACTGATTTTCATTTGCCAAATTTATATTTCAGTTCAGATAATTAATTTATCAAATTGAGAGACAAGCTCTGTGAGTGTTGTGTGTGTAGAAATCATTCAATACGACTAACGATATCAATTTCCCTTCCACATAAGCTGAGGAACAGTTTCTTCTAATAAAAGAAAAAGACGAGAGAGGGAGCTAAGAAATCATCACAACGTTAATCGATGATTGCAGCCACACAATTTCAATCTCATGTAAGCTTTTATGAAATGTCCCCCAAGCGTGGGGGGCATGAAAAAAAAAAAAAGATTCAGTAATATTCTTACGAGCAGTTGCAAATATAAAAATACACTAAAAAATAAAACCAAAACAAAATCTATTGCCATCATGCCCCTCATTTGTACTGTCAAAAAAATCATATGTTAACTTTCCTTCCCTGTGCTCATGTAGAAAATGAACTGCTTTTTGTCCCACCTTGACGCCCTCCCCTTCTGCTTCCACTCTGATTACCTTGCTGATGGTCCTCTCCAGCATATCCAGTTGAGCCCCTAGGCCGCCCTGAAAACTCACCCTGGTTTTTGAATTCATTCCTGCCATGTCCCCGGCCACCAAAAAAGTTCCCACGGCTCTTAAAACTGTCACTCCGAAACCCGCTTCTTCCTGAAGAATACCTACCCCTCCCGCTACTGCTTCCAACTGCAAGCACCAGCAAAATTTTACAATTTTATTTATGCCTGCAGGCGTCGATAGAAGTTAAAAATGAATAAAAAACAAAAGGCAAATACACAACTGAACTGACAGCTCTTTTTCCTTTCCCAAACTAAAGAGAGGGAGACTCCTATCCAGGTTCCCTAACCTTCCTTTTACTAGCATATCAAAGTTCATTATCTCATGCTACTCCCTCAAGGCATGGTTCTTTACCTCCACCACCTGCTAAGGGGTGGTATAGATCCTTGCTGCTCTCAAGGCATATCTGGAGATGTCTGTCTTTTATTTTGTATTTGGTTACAATAATGGTCTCCTACAGTAGCTTGAAGCCTGTGGTGACCAGACTCAAAAGGGTGGTTTGGACTGGTCTTGGTGGAGGTCGAACTTGGTAGATATTTGGATGGTTCAAGGAGATCTAGGTTATAGTGGTTAAATGGTTCTTGCCTGTTCTGTCTAAGTTTGGATTTTACAGATATGTGGTGATGGTGCAAGCCTTAGGAGACGTTTTCTTGTCTTTATATGCCTTTACTTAAGACTGATTCAACTCTGAAAAAGGTTTATGAGAGATGGCAAGTATGGGTAGAGGTCTTCACTGGATCTAAGGGGCAGTGATGCCAAGGAATTGCTGCAGCCGCTTCAACCCCTCCTACATTTTTTTAGATTGTATTGTTTCTGCCATTTTATCACCTACCTTAAATCATTGGGTAGCCAGGAATTGGCCTTAATGGAAACACAAGGAAGCAGATCTTATCAGGCTGTTTGGAACCCTTGGAATTGAATTCAATTCCAAGGGTTAAATCAATTCAAGTATTTCTAACTCTTTTGAGGGTGTTGATTTGAATTCCAAATTAAATTGAAATCATAAAAAATACACAAAGGTAAATCAAAGGGGAGATCCTTTGATTTACAAAAAACTTCTCTTCACTTTAAATTGTTCATCTACACTACCTTCTCCTAACTAATAATATGATTTTCCAGAGACTACTCAGTCACATGGGCTTGGCACAGTGAACTTAGAGAGTTTTTGGAAGTATGGTAACGGTTATTTTTCAAAGTGTTTTTGCTCAAAAATACATCAAAATAATTTTTTTTATTTTTTAAAAAATCATTTTTAACATCAGCACATCAAAACGTTCTTCAAATGACACCTCAGTTTAGCAGTACAATTCACAAGATGGGGTCTATATATCTCTCTCTCCTTTGTAAGAGAGCACATGAACAAATCAATGACAATCAATGAATATTTTCTCCTCTTACAATTACAAGTCCTTTAGTGGTAATAATACAGTCATTGCCCTTATTAAAACCCACTAAATTAAGCAATACTGGTTTTTACATCTTCCCTAAGATTAAATGTCCATTAATGATCATATAATGGCCTCTATTATAATATCCATTTCCATGGTCTACTACTTCACAATGGCATGGCTTTTATTCCCAGAACATACCAAAGTAATGGCTTCTTTACATTCATTTGCATCTTAACTAATATTTTGAATTTTCATGCTTGTTAATCCAAATTATTATAGTAGAAGGCAGTCATTTTCCAATGAAATATAAATACTTGAAGAGGACATTACTTGTAATACTTGTCACAATGTCAAATCATTCACTGAGAAGTTGTACCATGCAATTCTGAATTAAGAATAAAATAGTTAAGATTGTTAATTCTATTCAATTCCATAATATTTTATTCTAAGCATAAGAATTATAATAGGTTATCAATTGAATTCAAATCTCATGTTGAATTGAATTCAATTTCATATGTGATTTGATTCCAAACAGGCTGTAATTGTTTTGCTCCTCTCATAAAGGTGGCACGTGCCAAGCAAAGGCTTTATAAAGAAGCGTTTGTAGCCTTTGCACACCCTCTTCTGGAATCTTATAGCCCACAATGTGCTTTGTTTTGAGGTAAAAAAGTGTCTGCAGTATTGTTAGATGGTCTGTCTCTAGAAAAACTATGATGCAAACTAAGGATTTAGCTTTGACTTTAGGCAAATATTTAAGCAAGGTACAAACAAAGAATAAATTCAAGCCCCAAGAGTTACTTCTGTGGGATGAGGATTCTTTTGGAAGTTGGTTAAAGGTTTTCCAGGTTGTTTTCAGTCTCCGCAAAGGCTGCCTTCCATTTAGTAGCCAGGCTATTCTGTTTTTTATAGATTGCTGGAAGTTTCAGCAGG